TGTTCTTTCTTCACGTGAGTGAATTCGGTTAGCAACCCTCGCCGTACGAGGCCTTCTATTTCGTACCTTAGCTCTCGGCAGTCTTCCGTCTGGTGACCCGTTGCTCTGTGGAATTCACAATGCGTATTTGGATTGCGCATATAGGGTTGGGATCTTAACGGGGCAGGCCAATTGAGCTTGTAACCCTTCTCGCGAAGGACATGGAACACATTCCTCACGGAGTCATTGAGGGGAGTGTAGGCGTTAGGCGTGCGCCTGTCTGGCGATCGCCCGCGCTGCGCCTGCTCTGGTGGGGGGGGGAGGGACGCGCTTTGGGCCACTGTGCATCTGTAGCAATTGGTCTCGTGGGATTGTGGCTGGAGGCTGACGACGTGCCTGTTCTTCTCTCGGCATTCTCGCTGGTTCGAAGCGCCTGACGGATCCCGCCCCCAAGGTCTCTTCCAATGTGATCGCCTTTTCGATCTTCATCTCCAACTCCGTTGACAGCGTGACGGGCCTCTTTGCTAACGCCCGTTTGAGCTCCATGTTGTTGGTGGCCTCCATGAGGTGATGGGCAGCTGTTTCGGGGGTAAGGTCACGGACAGACATTGCTACCCTGGACCACCTGGCGTAGAAAGCTCTCAGGCTTTCTCCCTCCTTCTGCCTGACATCTATCAGGGCCTTGAGGTGGAGGGGGCGCCGTTTCTGGGAAGCGAACTTTGTTGTGAACAGAAGTATGAACTCCTCGAACGAGCGAATGATTCCGTTCGGGAGGCGGTTGTACCAGTCGAGGCATATGCCGGTGAACGTCGACGGGAAGGTTCTGCACAGCGCGGCGTTGGAGTTGGTTTGGAGTTGCATACGCAAGCAGAAGGTGCTTACATGGTCTTCCGGGTCAGTCGTGCCATTGTACGTCGGGAGGGTGGGTGTCGCCCCCGTCAGGTTCTCCGCCATTATCTGCGCGCTCAATGGCTGGTGAAGGACCCTTTTGGGCGGGTTGGGTCGGTACTGCGGAGACAGGTGTTGTTCTAAGAAGCTGAGGTCCGCCCGCTCCGGTGGTTCGATTCCCGGCGATTCGCACGCGGGAAGTTCCGTCGGCGCGTGTTGGGGTAGCTGGGCTGTCCCCGACGCTTCTCCCAAGGCTTGCTGAGGCGCCACCGCCAAGGCGTGTTGAGGCGCGTCCGCCGCCGCGCCTATCGTTGGCGCGCTCTCCCTGCTCATCATGAGCGCGATAACTTGGCTCATTTGTTTCTGCATGTCGGCTATGACGTTGTTTTGCTTCCTCACTAGATCCCTCATTTCTTTGGCCGTCAGCTCTGGCTCCTCTTCTTCGATGAGCACGGCGTTGAGGTTGCTGGCTTCCGCGAACGCCCTCGAGTCAGTCATTGCCTTGATCGGCGTTGCTTGGTCAGGCTGGTCGTGGTTGTGCTCTGCCATTGGGGGATTTTCTTTAGCGTTTCTTCTTGGCCCCACGGTGGGCGCCAATTGTTTGAACCTAACTGAGTGTAGGAGTGAGGTTCGAGTGAGAGTTTGGGTCAAGAAGAAACGCGAACGTCGAGTTTGATCAAGAAGACAAGAATCAGAGAGTTGAGTGAGAACCGGAGTCCGAACTTTTAGAAAGAGAAGTAATTGTTATAGAGAGAGAATGGTGAAAAAATGCGATCCCCTCACCCACCGGAGTAAATGCCATATTTATAGGCTACATGGTGGTGGGTGAGTGGGTGGACTTCGAGATGGTACAACGACGTGACTACTGATGTGTCAGGGATTTAGGCCATCCCCCAACCTAGGACTTGTCAGAGGGTTGTCTATGATTTGTACCTAAAAGTCTTGACGTGACCTTCCCTCGGGAGACACAATGACGCCCTCTCCGGCTCTTGAGTCTGGTTGCCGCCTTGTCTTCCCACTTGCGCGCTTAGCCTTGCTCTTGCCGCGCGTGAGGTCTCGGCGCTGTCGGACGTGTCGCGCCCTCGCCGTGTCTGTTGCGGCACGCGGTTTGACATGCTCTTTTGGCGCGGGGGTGATCCGAGTCACATGCCCAACAAATACCATTGATGTAGATGCTGTGATAATTAGCACCTAAAGTATTAGAATTTAGATAGCCAATGACCACTGTGGAGCGAAAATGTAAAGCGAGTCAGAATTAATGAAATAAACTTTGTTAGTGACAAATATGAAACAGTTTTATGAATTAAGTGACCAAATGTCCAATTTACCCAATAAAATTTAGTAACATGTTTGCTAGCATTGAAGGATGTCAACTCGGTTTAGCCCGTTAGTCCAGTCGAGCAAGTGGGTTGAGAGTTAATGGTCTGACCGCTTTAGTCCGAATATATGAAAAAATATTATATTGTTCATACGTTTATAAATTATATCCGATCTTATATAATGTATGAGTAATAACATATAACATTACACTAAAATAACAAGCTGTACTTCGATCTAACATATAGTAAAAATTCGTACACACTTATATAACATAAATTTTCAAATTTCAACTTAGAATTCCCCAGATAGGGTTAGACGAAAAGGAAAACCGAAAAAGTCACATTTTACAAACCAAAGAGAAAACGACTGTTTGTAACCTCTAACCCGATAACCTTAGACCAAGTCCAAAGCAAAATCCCAAATTTGGGGATTGATACCCATTTTCCTTTATTTTGCTCCAACGCTTCAATCTCCATATTTGGGGATCCTAATTTTTCCATTTTTTTCATTTACTTAAAAATGGGCTAAATTACATGTTTGGTCACTCAAATTATACGAATCTTTCACGTTTGCCACCCGAATCACTTTTCTTTCTTATTCGCCACTAACTTTACAAATTGTTTCACCATTAGTCACCCGCCGTCCAATTCCGTTAAAATCATCCTACGTGGCAGTCAACTAAGTCCTTTGACTGTTAGTTTGATGACATGGCAATTAAAAAATAATAAAAAATAAATATATTAATTTTTTCAATTTAAAATTACTTATATCTTTCTTCCCCTTCCATCACGTTAGATTCTTATCTTCTTCCCACACTATTTCACATCACCAATTCTCGGCGGTTGCGCACATAGTTCTTAACATGCCGACGGAATCCGAAGAGTCCCTGCCGGAGAAATCCATCATCATCCTCATCCATTCGTGAAACTCCTCCTATTGACCACTCATCATTTCACTGCTACTTCCGGTCCCATTGCATCAATCGTTATCTCCTCCACCTACAATATTTCTTCTCTCACGGGCTTACCATTCGCCTTCTCCGATCCCGCCATTTGATTGGAATCGAGCTTCTAACAATCTGAATGTGACCAGGGAAGGAGAAATTGAGCTTGGCTCGCAGCCCCCGGAACTCGATCTGTGCCCTATCATAAGCCCGTGTCGCGTCCTCCGTGGTGTCAAATGTCCCAGCCACACCCTCGTATCCCGCCGCGGGTCTCGAACCTCGCGGATAGGAGTTATGTTGCTCTGACACCGGCACCGACGCTGCTAGATTGAATGGGAACTGGAGCAATTCGCGGGCGCGAGCTGAATTGGTGGTGTTAGAGACCACGTTCCTAAGTGCGGTGACCATGATGGCGAGCTCTTCCTGCTGGGTGAGGCCAAACGGCGGAGCTCTTCCTGCAAACACTCAGCTGAAGCTTCTCAGAGCATATGTCCTGGTAATCATCCACAAAAAAACAATCCACATCTCGCGCACGACCCTTAATTCTGCTCCCAGGCCACAACCCGAATCCTGGATCTGTTTCTGATCTCCAACCATGTCTCGTCGCAATAAGCGTCAAAGCAACTGGCCACTCTTAGTTTCTGTCAATTTTGCACAGCATATCTCAAGTCCGCGTAGGTGGAAGGGGATGGAAGATGGAAAGTATTTTTAAATTGAAAAATTAATCTATATTTTTAATTTTTAATTGCCACGTCATCAAACTAACGGTCAAAGGGTTTAGTTGACTGCCACGCAGGATGATCTTAACGGAATTGGACGGCGGGTGACTAATGGTGAAACAATTTGTAAAGTTAGTGGCGAATAAGAAAGAAAAGTGATTCGAGTGGCAAATGTGAAAGATTCGTATAATTTGAGTGACCAAACGTGTAATTTAGCCCTTAAAAATGTAATTATTGAAGCCTTAATATAATTTGTTCATGTTAATTTTATATAGTTCGTCATCATTTTTAAATACAAAATTTTTGACAGAATTTTGTTAAATTCCGAGACCAAATTTTTTTGTCAAAAAATTATGGACCTAATTTGGGTTTACACACAACAATTGAAAATGATTGATCTAATTAAACCCCTAACTAATCCCCTAATTAAACCCCAATTAACCCCTAAAATCTTAAAAAGAAAAAGAAAAGCCACGCGGTGGGCTTTGGAGAGTCTCCATATTTGGAGGAACCCCAATTTCCACCCCAAAATTGGGATCCTTTTGGAGATCTCCTCCAAATATAGAGACTCCTCAATTTATAGAGACTCAATTGAAGCTAATTTTTCCCTAAATATAGAGACTCTCCCATTTATAAAGGCTCCATTGAATTTAGCCTTATAGCAGGTTAACTCGCAGGTGCATGTGACCCTTTTCTCTCACTGAATCAGGATCAAAATAGGCCAATCCGCAAATCGACCCGCCGGTTGACCATTTTATATTCTTTTCCCTCTCGTGTGCCGCTTGTGTGAGACTGTCAGACTGACCTTGCTCCACTTCTTCCTTCCCGCCTCGCTTTTCCCCCCTCTCAAAAAGCCAAACCATAAAGTCCCCCCATCCTTGGCCCTCATTATGACTCTCGCTCTCTCATCGCCGCCATCTTCTCTCACAATCTCACCGTTTCTGTGAGCATTTTCCCGGCCCCTCTGGTTTTCTCTTTGCTCTGCTTGATCGTAGCTACCGCTGATTGCCGCCGGGTGCTTATGTGTTTTTTTTTTTGCTTTCCAAACCCTTCTCTGTCGGTTCATTTGAGCGAACTCCACTCGTCCGTTAGGGTTCATAGGATTTTGATTTTTCTTTCTTTCACTTTGCTGTTGATTCTGGTTCATCAGAATGATTGGGGTTTTGGGGAGTAGTCGAGCGGCAGCGAAGAAGGGGAAAGCGGGGAACGGTGAAACAACTTCGTATAGGGGTAACTATCGGTTTACGGAGGATTCCGATGACGATGATGAGGTTTTGTTATCCGTTCTGTTAAAACGGCAGCAGGATTCCGATGACGATGATGAGGTTTATGATCTCGACAGCGAATCTGAACCAGAATTGGAGGAAGTGCCTTCGTGTCCTGATCCGGAATTCCACGACTTTGAGAAAGATAGGTCGGAGAATTGTTTGGGTGTTGATCAAATATGGGCAATGTACGATGACTTCGATAAGATGCCTAGATGGTATGGCCGGGTTAGGAAAGTGCTCTCACTTGGGAGTAAGCTTCTCATGACATGGCTGGAGGCTTGCCCAGGTACCAAAGACGGACTAGATAGGCGCGATGAAGCGATGCCTGTTTCGTGTGGTGTTTTCAAGACGGAGGGAGTGGACATTGTGGATCGTGTGTCATTGTCACACCGAATGGACTGCTCGAGGGGGAAAGACAAGGATACATATTTCATCTTCCCTAAGAAGGGGGAGACTTGGGCATTGTTCAAGGATTGGGATATTAAATGGGGTTGTGAACCAGAAAAGCATAAGCCACAGCGTACTTATGATTTGGTGGAAGTTATGTCTGATTTTGCGGAGGAAGTTGGTGTTGAAGTTTGTTATTTGTGCAAAGTAGAAGGATTTGTTAGCATCTATGAGAAAGCTTCCCATGAAACCTGCGTGTCCTTCTTCATACTGCCGAACGAAGTACTGTTCAGTTTTTCACATCGGGTTCCATCTTGCAGAATGACTGGTAGGGAAAAAGAGGGTGTCCCTGCTGGGTCTTTTGAACTCGATACAGCTGCACTGCCTAGCGGTTTTTGTAATGTTGAGCAAGTCGTCAGCATTCGGCCACAGGGAGGGAGTGGTTCATTCATGGCCGAGGAGAAGATTAGTTCTCAGGGGAACTGTGGAACTATTGAATTCAGAGATGCCTTGAAGACATGTCCAATTGGGTTGAGCCAAAGAGGTAGGGAGTTAAGTGCAAGCAAGTTTGTCGACCTTGAGAGCGGTGCTATGCTAATGTCTGCGAGTACGTGGGAGAACCGAGCCCAAACAAGCGATTCGTTACATGAGAGAGTTGAACGTTCAACTAGTCAGACAGGGACCACAATGTCCTTAAAGCGCAAAGTTATCAACGGCGATAGACTTGCTTCTAAGAAACCAAGATCCAAGGATGAAGTTATGAGCCAGAGCTGCATGATTGATGGGGATGAAGACCAAGTGACTGCAGATTATGGTTATGTAAATAAGGAGTTGGATCTTAAACGGGCAGAGTTAGCTACATTGGAGGAAAGAGTTAAGGCTTGTAAGATGGAGCTAGAGAGAACCCAAGCGTCCCTTGAGCACAAACAAGGAGAGCTTCTCGAAAAAAATAGCTGTCTGCACTCCATTGAAGAGTTGATTAAAGAAACCAACTTAAAACTTGAGTTGAGAGAGAATCAGTACAAGGCAATAAGAAGGTCTATTGGCCAGTCTTCGGCGGAGCTCCAATCGAAAGAGAGCCAACTCAAATCCCTAGAGCAATCAATCAAAGAATCCATGGAAAAAGAGAAGGCACTGCGTTATGTCAAGGATGAAGTACGCGAAAGTTGTGAAGTTGTTCAGTGGAAAGAGAAGGAACTGAACGAATTAAAAAAGTGTATTGAAGCTTCAAACAAAGTTCTTGATGAGAAGTCAAAGCTACTTGGGGAGATCAAAGCAAAGCTTGCAAATAACACTGGAAAGCTCAAATCAATGGAAGAACATCGAAACCGATTGAAGAAATCAATCATGGACCTTCGGCAAAAACGAGATCATTATCATTCAGTACAAAAGCCCTCCCAGGGGCATTCTGCAGTAGAGTCTAAAACGCATGAAGTAAGCAACACGTTCACTTTTTAGCCATTAAACTAACAAAGTGAAGCCTCCTGATAGTCTGATGCTTTTCCCTTACTAATTGTGGTGTTTCATAAATATGCAGATTTTGCATGAAGGATATGCTACCAACCTCCAGTTGTTCCTGGATAAGCATTTGAGGAAGCACGACGCTTTCCAAGCTGAAGTTTCCATTGCATTGCAGAGAGCACCAGATCCTGCAATGCTGGTCTTAGAAGTAATGCATGAGTTCTATCCTCGTTCAGAAAACCAGGATATGGACTATGATTTATCTGTCACTAGGAGAACCTGCATCACTCTGCTGGAACATTTATTGGGAATCAAACCACATATTAAATCTGATGTAAGAGGACAGGCAATGAAGCTTGCGCGGGACTGGAAGGCAAGAATTACCATGATGAAACCAGCAACTTCTTTGCAGGTTCTGGGCTTTCTGCAACTCGTATCGGCGTTCAGGCTGGCCTCTGATTTTAGTGCAGATGAAGTAAGACAGCTCGTTAGTAGTGGCCTTCCTAAGCAAGGGAATGGGGCTGAAACATGGCAATCTCTTGGGTTCATGGATAACTGAAATGGTAAGCTTCCCTCTTTTCTGCATTTTGTTTGGAACAAATTCGGTTCAGTGAGTTTCTTAATGCTTTTTTTCTCCACTTATTCCGAAGCTCATTGCAGATTTTGGTTTTCTTTTAACTATTTATGTACTATTTTTCTTTTGGAAAAGGCGAACCAGGCAAGTTATCAGAGTGACATAACTGGTAAGCTTCTATCTAGCAGAAGTTCCTTCTGTACATGTTCCACTTCCAATTTACTTGACTTATATATAAGCCAAGCTTTTCTATGAAAATGGTGATTCGAGTTCCCTTGTTGTTTTTCATCTGTTTTGCAGGGCTGAAAAGATTCTTTCAGAGTTCCCTAATCTACACAGAACAAAGGTTAGTTCATTCGTCGTCCACTGTGGCTGCAAAATTTTGGAAATGTAGTTACTTCGCTTTGCTCCAGTGTCATGAAAAATGATTGCCAAGGGGGAAACATGGCTATGGTTGGATTCGATGGTATGAACTTTTCTCCATGAGCTTTTAGGTCAATAGGGTTGCGTTATAGAAGTTTAGGGGACATTTTCGTGAACATGATTCTTGATCAGTATAATAGGGCAATTAGTTCTAGACTTCAAGCTAGTTCGAATTCTAGCCGAGCAAAATCCCAAGAAAAGGGGTTCGAATTGAGGCATAAACCCTCCTCACTAGCTTTTCTCTTTATATCACCATAAAACGTACTCCACTAGCTTTCCTCTTATAACCAATGGGGTAAACTCGTGGGGGGTCTGAAACTCTCATATTACGAGTAATGCTCGAGGATGGTGCAACTCTATTTTCCGGATCAAAATGTTTGGTTAATTGCACCTGCATTGCTCAGGCATTCCGGTTACTTTGAGAAGTGTTCAATGACTAGCTGGATCCCCTAACCGGAACGTAGGGCTAGCGATTTGGTTAGCCGAACCGAAAAAGCAGCAAAAACCGAAATATGAACTAGATAATTGCTCAAAACCGAAACCTTCAAGGGCTTATCAAATTTTCGGTTTCGAAAACCGATAAGCTCTTAACGTTTTTTCAGTTAGAATAAAGTGATATTTCCACTTTTCCCTTCATAAGTTGCGGTTTTTATCGGTTTATTCACATGTTTTTGGTTCTAATCGAAACCATTGAGGAATTATTGGTTTTTACCCGTTATGGGAAACTGATAAGGCTATTGAACTGGTTTGATTTGGTTAAAATCGAAAATACGTAACCGAACTGAACTGCCACCCTTACTGGAAAGCTAGTCAATGTCCAAAAAGTGTTTTCATGGGAGTCGGTGTTTGTGAAGCCAAATGAGCAAAAGAGGTTCAATAAAGGAGATATATGACTATGATGAAACCCCGGGGAGGTGAGAGAAGTGATATCCTCGACCTCGTGCTTTGAAAGTGAATTCATTGTCGGCTTGATGACTTGGTTGTTTTGGTAGGATTGTAAAATCATGAGCAATGTATTTTTTACCCAAACCTTTTTCATATTCTTTTATTTTAATCAAACCTATAGAAATTCTATTTATTATCCAAATATATTATAATTTATCAAAGTATTGGCATTCATTCTGTTACCGTTACTTATTTCGTCCACGTGAGAGGTGGGATTTTGTTTTGTTTTTTGATAATATTTTTATTAAAAATAGTAAATGATGGTATTCTGACCGCCACGTAGGAAGTCAACTTATTATGGTCATACTTAGTCAGCATTACTAAAAGAAAAGTTGACGGAGAGTTAACGTTTGGATAATTTTTAGGAATTCAATAGGTTTGGTTAAAATAAAAGAATCTGAAAAAGGTTTGGGTAAAAAATAGAAATTTCCCTAAAATCATATTAAAAGTTGTATTGAATAAGTCATTGATAGGATATTTTGTGCTTGTGGTTTAGTCGTAGTTCAATATCGGTAATATTTTATATCCATTTAATTTTGATAGGTAGTTTTTCTGGCCGGATAGCTAGTACTATACGGTTTTGCGAACACTAGCTTTGAGGCATTGACATGGTTGTGAAATCGATTTTGGATGTGGCTAAGGGTGGTCAAGTGAAGGATGGGCGCGAGGGTTGAGTTAGAAAAGATGAAGAGGTAGAAGGGTTGAGGTGCCACATAAGTTGAGCTAACTTTCTGACGAAGTTGAGGTGCCACGTAAAATGATGGCAACGACGTTTTCTATCATGGACCACCATTTTGGGTGTCGTTTCTTAAGCTCGTCTTCTCTCCGATTTCATGATTAGCAATGTGATCTATTTTTCCCTTCGGTTACCAAGTGGCCCACTAGTCTGGTTTGATCTGAAAATGCTCAAAGCACTATCAAAAGTGTATCAAATCCGCAAAAGCAATCTTAGGGTTGCTAAAACACAAGGCACCATAGCACGAATTCAAGGTATTATGACGATAATGATATGAAACAAAGTATATGTGGCGGTTGATGTGTTAGAGCTTCCACTAGATCCCGCACATATAACAACCTATGATGGAGCAGGTACCAGTATTGGAGGTGGAGCTAGGAGCACTGCTCGAGCTGGAGTCAACCCTTTTATAGCCGACCACTACTAGCTCAACCAACTCCTATTTTAGGAGCAACAACAAATCCAGTAGTAGAATAACCAGATACTCTGGCAGTAGGAATAACAATATGACCAGCATATGCTCCTCACCCAGGAGGTCATTAGGCTTAGCGACACCACTTGGCGGTTGATCGAGAACATGTGTGATTACTGGTCACAGCACAACTGGATACCGGGTGATTCATATTATTAAGGCTGATCAACTCACCGTCGTGATCTTACTCACTCTCAACCTGCCACCCTTTCAAACTTTTTAATTTTCTTTATTTCCTTTTTATGTTTTTTTTAGTAATTAAACATTTGACTAACTTATTATGCAGTGGAGATGACTAACTTGACTTAGAGCGAAATCGAACTAAAGGGTGAATCAGCGCCAAAAACGATGGACCAACAAATTCTCTGTTCTGGCTGCCAATTCTTAGGGTTTTCCAAGGTTCGTGTTTCGACTAGTGTTCCCCGAGAAATCTATAAAAAAAAAAATGTTCCCCGAGAAACTCGTCCTCATGGTCAGCTATTTCCCTAGCTAGTTGCGTAGGTTGCGAACCTACAGGTTCTTTGACTATGGAACTCTTGATTTTGGTGTGTGTTTATATATATGGGTGGTTCTATCGTTACTTGGGTAAAATCAAGGGTACGGTATATACCTTGAGTAAGAAGACAATATCTAGAACTCAAATTGACCGGAGTTTGACATATGCTACTATTCTCAAACCCTTAAAGATTAAAATATAGGTCTTAATTCTATAAATCTAATACACTAAGATCAATTTAATTAGAAAAAAATTGACGGTTATGATTCGTCGATGCACAAGGTTTACTCTTCAAGGGTTCAAATATAGTATTATGGCCAAAAAGTCGATTAATTCAAGATTTATATAGCATTTTCTTACTTAGAGTATGTCCTACCCTAGATTTTACACAAGGTACTATAGTATATATATATATATATATATATAGTTCAGGTTAGCATACGCCTGTATTCACACTACAGTACGCCCGTCGAGTTTTACTATTTATAGAACGAATAAATCAGAGTTTGAGGCATGATATTATATCCTAAGCAGAAATCCAATCTACATAAGGAGTAACTTTATTACAAATAGAAGAGAACAAAAATCCATTTCACAAATATAATCGTATTCCACGCACAAATTCTAACCATACCATAGTTTGTACTGCATCTTTACGAGGTGTTTGGCGCTCTTTAGAAGGATATGAATCCAAGATATGAACTTGCTTCTCATCCATCAAGATGACTACTAAATACCAATGAATGTCATCACCATGCATGATATCCTTCATTGGCAGACACAACTACATTACGACAAGAAATACTAACATCAGTAAACCATATTTGACATTTCATATATGAAAAAGTTACATAGCTTGATTGGAAAGAAAAATTATTCACATATATGTTCATACAATAGCTAGAAACAATTAATGAGGAAGCCAAAAGTGAAATGCAGAAGAAAGTATTGAGAAGAAAACCTTTCTGCAGGTGTGAGCTGTTGTGAGAAACTTTGTACCGTAACACTCTAAAGCTTTTTTCGGTGTCATGCCATAGTTAAGTACCATTTCCTAATCATGATTTGATTAAATTAGCAGAATTACACGTTTATTATATACCATAGGACAAACAGTATATTTCACCTAAAATACATATACAAGGTAAATCAATATGTACCTGCAGTTCAGAAGGCAGAAAACATACTCTTCTCCCACGGCCAGCATCTCTCGTAATTTCGTCCAGGGTCAAGTGGCAAGTCATTGCTGTAGTTACCTAACACACCAACCAACCAGGGTATACAAATTTTAGGAGATTGGTATTATGCCAGTTGAATGGTAAGGAGAGAGGTAAGGTTGCAATCTCTATTGAAAATGAGAAGCAAATAAATCATATTAGAAGACCAATATTTTGATTGTTTTGATAGAATTGAAAGGCGCAAACACCATCCTACACTAGATACAAAATCATAGAGGAAACTAGAAGCAAAGCTGCAGCAACAGTGCACTCCTCAAAGAAACAAAGGGAAAAGGGCAAAAATACACAGGAGAAAAAAAAAACAACAAAGCAAAAGGCATGTCAAATAAACAGGCACCAGACTCAAATTCTGTATAGAAAGGACATGGTCCAGGCTATGCCTTGATCCTTATCAATTTTCCCACGAATCGTGATCTACTCATTAACAAATGACGTGCAAACAACAAGATATAAAACACCCTTCAACATCCTGATTAGTAACAGTAGGCCAGGATTAAAACTTACATCAGCATCAACATTGGAGTTAGGGCAGAGGGACCATAGCGCCTTTCGCGTATAGGATTTCATCATGGTATCGACTAGGACCTCTTTCAGCGGAAGGTCAGCTGCAAATATGTAGTGAGCAAGTTTGATTTCCTCCTCACTGTAGTTGACGGCGTGAGGCAGCCTAAACTTAGTTTCTGCCTGCAATGGAAGATGAAAGAATATTAGCGGGTTCGATAAAAATATAACCACTGATTTCGTTTTAAGGCAGAAAAATATTAGTGGGGTGGATTAGAGGGGATTGCTAATTATCGCCCTAATTTTAATGTAATCGTCATTCGTAATCGTCACATAAAGAGCGCAACTTGTTCAAGGTTGGCTACTGAGACATACTGCCATTTAAATCACTTCAGTAGTGAAGAAACACACTAATACGAGGCCCTGAATCTCTCTCAAGCAACTATAGCACAAAACATGGTGAATCAAATTCAACCAACATACCCGTAAAAAAATATAAAATAAGCTTTGGGTCTCGGCCCAATTCTTCCAAGGCTAAGCTATCGGCTGCTCAAACACCAAAAGAAGAAATCCTTCCTGGTCATTCCGATCAAACAAAAACTCTAGGTAAAAAAATTGGTTATGTTGTTCTTGCCGAAAGAGACGAAGAAGCTTGGTGCAGGTGTTGAATCCAAATAAGAGAAAGTTTACACAGATAACTTCACCACTATCGATTGGGAAGCAAAACACAAAGAAACAGGTGCCGGAAAAGAGAACCGAAGCAGAAAATACGAGAGAAGGGTAGAAATACCTTATCGGTGAATTGCAGGGTAGATAATCTGGTACGACTTTTCCAGACTAAAGCATTGCCATCTCCCCTCGATTCACCATCAAGAACAATCATATTTGATCCCGGCGTCGATGGAGGGATCACACCGACTTCAGTTCTAGCTTTCTTTACCGGAGATACATCCTTCTCCAGCTCCTACGTTCATAGTACAACAACAATCGTCGTTCTTTAGTTTTTAACGAAAAATAAGCTGCCAACGATGGAGATATGAAAACATGTAAACTGACATACCATTAAATCGGACGACCGCGCCTTTGATCTTGTCATTACCCCGCTGTCCACAACATGCTTCATCTTGTTCTTGTCCCTGAGATAAAAAAGAAATCATAACAAAAGAGGAATTTAGAAGAAAGAGAGACATTACGATGGTGGCTTTCTTCCTTGTGTATATAATTTACTTACCCTGGCTTTTCCATGGTCCTCTTCTGTTCCAGCTTCACAGAACGGTACAGAACAGAGCTGGGTATTCCTGAAAAAGGGGTTTCACACGTCTTAATAAAGGGGGATGTAGAGTGTTTTTCTCTTTATGGTAAGTGTTATAATATTTATCTACCTTATTAAATCAACTTAGAAAATTCTATTAAAGCTATACAGGAAAATCTTTTATCATTAATTAAACTTAGAAAATTCTTTTATCATCATCTATTTGTTTATTAATCGAATTCAATTTACACGTTTTTTCCTCTGTACAGAACACAGAAGGATGAAGATTTTCCGGTTTTGAGAGGAAGCAGATCGGTAAGGAGAGAGAAAAATAAATAAAAAAATAAATGAATCAATTTACACATGGCAGCATTGGATAATTAATTGAAGTGGAAGGTTACGCTACCAAAAATACTAAAATAATGATTCTTAACATAGACAAAACAACAGAGGGGTAAAAATAGGTTTCCTGCAGCAGGTTGGGCATAATTCTTGTACGTACATACACGTTCAGCCGCCTCCAACCCTCTACAACCACCTACAGTCAGTATCCCACCCTGCCGAGACCCTAAACCAAAGAAGGTTATCGATGGAAGAAGAAGAACATCCTCGTAACAGTCCCATCGAAGATGACCTTGAGATTTTAGAGGAAACAGGAGAAACCGACATTGACATTCTGAATGGAGAAACGACTGGGATGGAAGATGTGATTTTAGATCCTCCTAAAATCGGCCAGATATTTAATGACTTTGAAGAAGCTTACAACTTCTACAATGATTATGCAAGGGCTTGGGGATTCTCTGTTAGGCGCTCAAAGAAAGTTCGGAACAGCAAGGGAGAGGTTTCTAATGGAGCTTTCGTTTGTTCTTGTGAGGGACATAGAGCCCCCAACAAAGGGGAGAAGAATAGAGACTCCCCCATGGAGACCGGATTTGGTTGTCAAGCAAAAATGCGTGTGGCATTTAATAAGAATGATTCAAAATGGATAGTGGATATATTTAAAGAAGATCACAATCATATGCCAATTAATCGGCATTGTACTCATCACCTAAGATCACAACGAGGGTTAACAGAGGCTGACAAGGCAGACTTTAGATTTAAGAAGAATGCAGGTATGAAACCTTCTCAAATCATAAAGCTTGCTGTGCATAATGCTGGAGGACATGACAAAGTTGGGTACACAGTAAAAGATGGGATGAATTTCAGCACTCGAGATCGCAATGAAAGGCTATGTCCTAGTGATGCGGCAGCCGCACTGGCCTATCTAGAATCGAAGAAAAGTACGGACACGCACTTCATCCTCCGGTACACTACTGACGAGGAAAATAGGCTCCACATTTTATTCTGGGCAGACAGTATGAGCATAGCTGACCTCTCGTGCTTTGGAGAGTTGCTCGCATTTGACACGACATACAAAAAAAAATATTTACAATATGCCTCTTGTTATTTTCACAGGTACACACCTTAGTGCTAATTTTGGTTCGTATATTCAATTTTCTAATCCGTAAACAAGTTGAGAAGCACTTGCTATTTCAGGTATCAACCATCATTTCACGAGTTGCTTATTTGGGAGTGCACTGTTAGCTAATGAGACTGAAGGGAGCTACAAGTGGGCTTTGGAGATATTGAAGGAAATGTTGGGTGGAAAGGACTTGCATACAGTTGTAACAGATGGGGATAAAGCAATGAGGAATGTCATTGCTACTGTGTTTCCAGATGCAACACACCGGCTTTGTGCGTGGCATCTTTCAAAGAATATCAAGGGCAAGGTGAAGAATAGCCCAGACTTCGAACCCCAATGGAGCACATTTGTAACTGCTGATTATGAGGAAGAAGAATTTGAAGAGAAATGGAAGGAATTAGTGGAAAAATGTGGTCTACAGAACAACCAATGGGTGACTACAAATTTATTTGGGAGACGCGGAGAATGGGCGGACACATACTTGCGCTCCCACTACTTTGCCGGGCTGACAACCACATCAAGAAATGAAGGTATAAATTCATTTGTCGGAAGATATTTGGAGGAGAGACACTGTTTGCTTGACTTTTTCATTCAGTATGATCGTTGGTGTAGGGATTTGAGGGAAACAGAGATCAAATTAGATTTTAAATCTAATTATGGTTTAACCCCGCTAAAGAGCACCATGCTTAGACCCCTTGAGGAAAGTGCAGTTAAGTTGTTCTCGAAAGCTGCATTTCTTAAATTCAGAAGTGAACTAGAGCAGGTTATTGGGTGCATAAAGAACACTCAATCTGAGGATGGAAACATACACACCTACAGTTTAAGTATGTTCAACAAACAGAAGGTTGTGGAGGTAAAATACAACCTTGAAACAAAGGATATGGAGTGCAGCTGTAAAAATTTTAACAGTGTTGGAATTCCCTGCACTCATATGCTCTGTGTGTTGAAAGAAGAACGGGTGAAAAGTCTTCCTGAGAAACTGGTACTTAAACGTTGCTCAAAGAACCCAAAGTCAATAGACAGTATGCCACCGCCACCTAAGTTGGGGGATGATCATTCTTTCAACACCAGATATGGGTCACTCCAGTTCTTGGCTACACATATTTTCCTATTGGGGGCAGAGACTCCTCTATCTTTCCAGGTTGCTCGAGGGGGGTTGACAGTAGTGAGGGACAAGTTGGAAATGATGAGAACAACTCCGGCTGAAAGGGAATCGATGGTAATACCTAAGGAGTTCGAAAGAGTCCTCAACCCCAAAAAAGTGATGTTCAAGGGATGTAGAAAAGGAAAGGCAAAAAAACAACAGAAGAAAAAGAAGAGGAAGTGTGGGAGATGCGGTAGAAGGGACGGTCATTATATTAAGACTTGTCCTGAACCCGAAGGCTACGTGCCGCCAGCTAGAGAATCTTCGCCTGATGAAGAGGATGACGACGATGATATGAATTTTGCGGACAATGATGGAGGTGATGAGGGAGGTGATGATGGAGATGATGACGATGACCAAAGTGGTCGGCCCCAAAAGGTAATTGGTAAAACATATTTGAGTTTTTATCAGAATTAATAGTTCTTAAAAACTAAGTGTTTTTATAATGGTTATATTAGAATCAACGAACTAGCAACCACGATGCTGATGTAGAGCCTACGGAAAACATACCGAAGCTACATAAGGTTATACAACACTTTCTTTCTAAATTTTATTCTATTTGGTACAAGTAGCTATCAACTTAAGAGTTTAATTTCTACTCTTGTAACAGACTGGGCCACGTACTAGGAGTAGTACTATGACACATCAGCAGCAAGGGAAATCCAATAAGCATACAGAACCTAGTGTGGAGCCTTCTGCTCAATGTTCTGAACGCCAATCTGAGAGGACCCAACAGGTTTTTTTAGTGAAAATAATCTAATGCATCCTAATGTATATATTATGTGAGAACCTTTGCTAAAAAAGTGACAGTTTCAATGTTCTTTTATCTTGTTTTTTTATGTTTCAGAAGAGGGGACATGGCAAGAAGTTGAACAACACAGACAGGGCAAGAAGTTGAACAACATCCAGAGCAAGGAGTTGAAAAGCACTCAGTTTTTGTTATTTGTTCATTGAAATTGATGGGACAGAATCTTTTAGCTTCGTTGATTTACAACAAGTGCAGCCTTTGACGAATTTTTTTTTTGTGTGGTTTGACGAACATAGAGAGTTGGAAATGAGTTCTTAGTTATGAAAGGACATACCTCGTGCATTTTTTGCAAGACCCCTTTGATTTTAACTTTGTTGTCTTCTTCATCTTCTCTTCGAGGTGCCTGAGATTGATATGCATATGGTTGGTTATTAAATTTATACCATGATTTATCTAACATAAGTAGACTGATCCAACATAGGGACCAGATTGATATGTAATAGGGGTTGAGATAAACTTACACCAACTGCAGCACGTGTCTTGTATTCCTTAGAACCAGTTTGACTCTTGTGAGACCTCGACAACCAGATCACTGAGGGGCATAAATGATGTGAAACCCCAGTCACTCTCCCTTCCATTGAACTGGTGTTGAGTATATGGGGAAAAACAAAGAAGTAAGCATATTAGAAACTACTCATTCAATAAATTGCTCAAGTCCAAATAATTACTTGTGACTAGTCCTAAATTCATCCCATGCACATGCTTGCCACGTTTCAACACCATATAAAGCAAAAACCAAGGCACTGTCTATCAGAACCAGAAACGTACCTTTTCTGATTGAGTACTTGTTGTGAATTTGATTCACCACAGCCAAGCTGAATTGTGCATAGCGACTCCAGCCATAGGGCAATGTAGAAGAATCTGCAACATCCAAATACATCGACAGGTTCATCGATAGAATAGTCACCAGATTCTTCAGGATTGGTAGATGAGCAATCATCAAGCTTCCCTGGAAGAGAAGATGATCTCAAGACACTCTTTTGCCTGACCAATTCCCTAGCTCTCTTTGCTGATAGCTCTCAAAATCCTCAATCAATAATCCATGGAGGCGAGTTACAAGTGGTGAGCTATATGAAGGCAGAAGACTGAGAAATGAAAAGGGGAAGGTAACTGGAAGTACTGACCGATCCAATAGCAAGAGCAACGTCTTCATTGGTGTGATGGTCATCAATATGAATGTCACCAGTTGCCCTCACATGTACATCAAACAGCCCATGCGACGCAAGTTGCTACAATCAATCGATCGAAAAGCGGGAAATATCATATATCAAATCCAGGGCAAAAGAAAATCGAGTAGTCGACCAAATTGAAAAGGGAAGTTGCAGAGCTGCAAAGTGATTTCCAGAAGTTCACTAACATCTAACATGTGATCGAGAAATGGGATTCCCGTGGACGAGTCAGCAACCCCAGTACCATCCAAGTTAATTTTCACAGAAACATTGGTCTCTTTGGTGAGCCTCTTCACTTCTCCAACCCGGCTCCCAACTGCAACAGAAACCCAGTTCTCAGAATCCATCAGAGAAAAACAAGCGAAAGCAGAGACCAAGAACCAAACTTTACCTGGCTGTAACGGCGAAGCGGTGGAGATGGAGGAGGAGCCGTTGTCACCGATAGGAGCGGCGGCGGCAACAGAAACCTAGTTCTCAGAAACCCTCTACACCCTCCTTCCGCCATCAGCAAACTCGGAGACGGCCTCCTCGTCGAGATTCTGATTCCCCTCCCCAATCCCAGATCCGCCTTCCTCTACAAACCCATCTGCAAGCTGTGGAGCTCCCTCATCTCCGATCCCAGCTTCAATCACCGTTTCGTTGCTCGCTACCAGAGCATGAACCTGAACCAATCGCCGTTTCAGTGAATCAAAGCCGAATCGGGGCGAGGGAAGTGCAGAGATTCGGAAGCCTACCTTCTTCGAGTGATTCATTATGCGATATGCATGCGCCATATATCCCAGAAATCGTATATCTGAAGCTCCGCGTGCTCATCGACAAGGCCACACCTTCGGCCGCCGGCAAAGTGGGCCAGCTTCGAAGACCCCAAATCGACCAGATTTCCCAGAAACATCAAACGATTAATGGAAAGAGAGAATGAAACTATGCTATTCTGTTTCAGTGGGATGGGAAGGGTTGCAAAGAAATGAAATTTTGTTTTGGCGGATAAAAACAGGCTTCCGTCGCGGTTCTGTTTGGAGCTCCATCGTTGGATTGTCGTTTTTTTATGGTAGGATTTGGGATTTTTGAGCTGTTTCGTTATCCTTTTCACTGGAACGGTGGTGAGGAAATGGGTGGATCTGAGGAAGAATGAAGGATGCGAATGAGGAAGGTAAAGTTACCCTCATTCTATTGTCCTGTACGACATCGTGTTCCATCCTGTCAAGCCTTTCCTTTTTTTTTCTTTGTGTTTTAATTAGCCTTTCCTATTTCAAAGCTGCATAAATTAATAAATTCATGATTTGGTGGGAAAATCTTTTTATTTGGTTCAAAGTTTGGGAAAATCCAAAACAAAAAAATGGCAGGATAGTTTGGGGGAATGAAAATTTATATTCATTGTTTCTTTATTTTTTTTCAAATTCTAAACCTATGTCCTCAATTTAAGTATCTATAAAATTGTTTAAAGTTACCGCTCATATAAACGAGGATTTAGGGTTTAGGGTATAGGGTTTAGGGTTCAGGGTTTAGGGTTTAGGGTTTAGGGTTTAGGGTTTAAGGTTCATGGTATATGGTTCAGGGTTTAGGGTTTAGGGTTCAGGGTTTAGGGTTTATGGTTCAGTGTATAGGGTGCAGTGTATGACAAGAGGGTATAACAAAGAGAACATATGTCTTCACATATTTCGATCTCAAAGATTACTCAAAGTCGGCCGATAAGCTCATTACAAGTACCCAAAACCCAAAATCGAGTTAAGCTCATAAAATGTTCAAACTGGGCACAAAATTACATTCAAACCTATATCTAAGTCTACCAAAATAAAACACAATATTTATTTCAATTTCAATGCATAAAATCCATGAATTCTAATTCTTTCTTATGCCAAAACGTTAAATGAGCTTGTTCGCGAGCTTTAGAGCCGAACATGGTATGGCTCGAGTTCGGCTCATTTAGTTAACGAGCTTGTTCGCGAGCCGACTCGATTAAGACGAATCGAGTTTCAAACGAGTTTTTATCGAGTCGGACGCCGAGCCGTTCATGAGCAGCTTGGTTCATTAATAGCCCTAAATGGGTTAAGAATGAATGAAGAGACAGAAATTGGGAAAGAGTCGTCCAATTTTTTGGCAGCGTGGCTACCACAAGAGCAAGCGGCTCTCATTGAAAAGAGTAGTCCAATTTTTTGGCGGATAAAAAAGGCGGTCTTCTAAAAAGAGTAAGAAAGGAAGTTTTGAAAATGTTAAGTTTTGTTTCACGTTTCAATTTTGCCTCCACCAATTGGTTAGTTTGTAATAATAAATATAGTGAGAAATGAATTGCAAATAATCTTTTGAACTTTTCCTCCAGCAAAGCAGTAATCTGCATTAGTAACGAAAAATAGAGGGAAATATTTTTTTGGATTAATTAGACGGAATTTTAAAGGTTATTAGTTATTTTCAGTTATATTATCCAAACATTTTTAGATTCTTTTATATTATCCAAACCTATTAAAATTCTATTAATTATCCAAATATTTCATGATGCATCAAAATATTAGCCATTTTTACGTTATTGAGAAACAACGATAGACAGAAGTCAACCAAAAGTCAACCCATTGAATATGACTCGTTTGCATGTGTTATGCTACTATGAGAACTGATCATGCGGAGATATAGGGTTCAGGGTTTAGGGTTCAGGGTTTAGGGTATAGGGTTCAGGGTTTAGGGTATAGGGTTCAGGGTATAGGGTTCAGGGTTCAATTATCAATTATATAATTCTATGTCCATATTTTATTGCCTTAGAGGTTGTAATATTTTTGTAAATGTCTAATTGGGCACCATATATAAAGGCGTAGACCACAACCTATAAGAATGGCACTTGAGCTGATAAGAATAGTGAAGGCCTTCTTATTAGTTAAAATCTTCAGCCAATATCACTTACCCAATCCATGTAAAATCATTCTTCATGAGACCATGACTTAGTAAACTATAAAAAAAAGGTCGAAGGTAAGTGATTACTCTTTTGTCAGACCCACATCCTATATCGTAGGACCAGTAAGATCGACAACAACTCTCTAATTTGATGCTGCAGATTGACGACATAATTGATGATTAGCTAAAGAGTACTTCTCCGTTAATTCCAACCCCAAAAGGATGATACCGTACACTAAACTGGCAGGAAAGAGAAACCCTTTCACAACCTGCAAGGACCAATTCGAAGGAAAAGGAGACAAGAAGCTAATTGGATGGACATGGAAGAAGATTATTCTCTATTTCTACCACATCGACAAATGGATAAGAACACACATTCACTTACCGATATAATAATAGTAGCGGTGTCCATTGGGAAACACCAAACCATAACTGGACTTTCTCGTGCCCCATTCCATCGAAGTCGGCCAAGAGTTCTGTCTAATTAGGGCCCGACGAGTAGACGAATTGAAGAACTCTTTTTGCAGTTGAGGGCTTGAGATCAGAAACAACCAACATTACTACCACCGAATAGGCCCAACAGTGTAGCAGGCGCGTTCTCCCGTTGGCCGGCTAGTTGTAAGTTTGGGCTGTTGATAGAGGCCCATTAGTTGGGTTTGGCCGGCCAAAACGTTTGCATAAAAAAAAACCAAAACCAAAAAGGATCACGAAAACGTTTCCGCTTCCTCTTCCTCTTCCCTTCGGCGCCTCTGTTCCGTTCCCGGCGAAGACATCAATCGGACTGGTTCATTGCATGGTCGGGTTTGGCTGTCCTCCTATCTGCCTGACCCACATTATTCTCATCCCCAAGAGTTGATTCTCAAGATTTTGCCAGCATCTCACATTTATTTTCTTTCCACTCATCAACAGGTTGGCGATAATCGCGTCCTCCGCTCCTTTGGGTACGCCTCCTTCTGCTCTCAGATAATTCTTAGTCGATTGGGCAACGGCCTGGTGTTTGAAACGCTTTGCGATTCCTCGCCGCCATTAGAAGTTTGCACACTATTCTCTTCTTCGAGCTTCGTGTTTGCTTTATTGAAGTTCCGAGCTAACTTGTAGACGACGTGTTTATGGAACAGAGGAATTGATTTCGGCTTCCGTTAGCAAAGAAAAACAGCAGTTGAGAAGAAGCACTGGCGACCTCCCGATTCCAGTAACTTGCGGGATTAGTTTATCCTGCTGAACTTCACCAGGTTTCTCGCTTTCCCCTCTAGTTTACTACTGTGTCTGCATTCCTTGATGGTGGCGCCATGCAGTAAGCTATGTTTTCTAAAGTGAATATGATATTGAATAGGTATCAGATATTGAAGATTATGAGCTGCTAAATGGCTTCAACTTGCTCTTTTCATTGGCTATATTTTGTTTAGAAATGAGAAGAATACCAGCAACCCTGACTATGAGTTGAATGTGAAGGACTGAGGCCTTCTTTCTTTCATACGCTGTTCAGCTAGTATTTCTACTTTCGAACATTCTTTTATTTTGATTTTGCCTTGCATGTCTTTGTTTCTGATGCCTAAGATGTGTCTTCTCTTCATTTGTACATAATTATTTGATTAGTGTCGGAACTCTATCCTGTTTTGATATAGTCGTTAAGAGTCTCTTTGGTTTAATTCAACTGAAATAAGAATTGGTTATTAATTCCACAATGCAAAAGTAATATGCACTGTGGTCCCAAACCACAACTAACATAGTTTGTTTTTATGATTCTAAAAATGGCAGATACTGCCAAAAATAGAGATTGAGCAGAAGGAAATCAGTGTGACATATATTTGAAGATGGACAACATACCTGAATGGAACCCGTAAGTAATGGTTTCCCAACCAACTCATAATAAACCATATTCTCGTGTTCTCATAACTACTCAATACAATTGCTAATAATCTAAATTATAGGTTTTTTACCCTGGGAGATGATTTTGTTATGAATCTAAATTATCAAAATGCCGTGGCAATGTCTGAGCCCGTTGAACCTTTAGATCTAATCCCAAAGCAATTGGATGGTGATGATCAGGTGAGTAAGAAAAGACGTTTGTTATCTGTCCTTCTCTATCTCTTATGTGATTGATTTGCAGCTGATTTGTTTTTTTTTTTCAAATCATCATCTTTTGCATTATATCAGGGCACTTCGTACATTTTCTCTGGCGTTGTAACAGAGCCGAGGAGATCTTGGTGTGATGCATCCAGAGTATACTTGATTCACTTGACCATTGAAGATGACATTACTGATGTTGAGGTCGTGTTCCCATCATCATACTTACGGAGAATCATTTCTTCTGTAGTCAGACCTTCTGAGATTGACAATGCCGACTATGTTACACTTCTCAACTTGATTGGTGACAAGTCATATGAAGTCATGGTCACAATCGGTCCTTGGAACAACGTGGGGAATTTTTTTGATCTATTCTTGGTTAAGTTGTTCCTGCCTTTAGATAACTAAGTAGCAATTGGGTATTATTAATATGATCGGATTAATGTTATTAATGGCCCACCTCTCTGTAATCTCTCGTGTTCTGTAAGTGTAATGGATATGTGAACGCTAATATCTTTTGTACGTTTATTATCCTTTTGAGGGGTGCTTGATGTAAAATATGAATTTAAATTAGTTATGGTACTTTGAACAAATTAGTATTAGTAGATGTGACTTGATTGCTTTTCTCAACAGTGGAAGTAAATTCGTTTGTATTTGCATTGAGTTAACAACGTGAGAATTACACAACAAACCTACTATTAATGCATTCTAGTCCAAAATCTCTTCGATTCATTATATGAGCTAGTGTAGTGAGTCTGCCAACTGTCCAACCAATTTAACACAAATAAAAAATAGAAATGGATAATTCACAAAGGCAACAAATGGTAGTTCAAAAGTGAAAAGATCCTTTGACACATTAGCGTGTGTAAACAAGCACCAAAGCCATATCAGCGTGTGTAAACCATCAGACCAAATCCTCTTTTCAATGCGACTCCCGTCTAGGATTTTGATTCAGCAGTAAACCTGATGACAACAGCAGTCATAAGAGTTATAAAGCAGTAAAATCGCTAAATTAAAAAATTCAAATTGAAGAGTGAAATGGGAATAACCATAAAGTGAATGACTTGATATGTGGTGAAGCATATCTAATGATCAACAGAAGAATCAGATCGATATGGAACAAGAGATTTTTTGCTCACCTGCCGGCTCGGATTTGGTCAGAGCACAATGCAAGTGGCTAAACTGGTGTTTCAGAGACCTGATCTTTGATTACTCGTTTCATCTTGAAATAGTTTACTTGACACTTGTCTCGGAGAACGGCCTACAAAGTTGCCCCTGCCTATAATATGAACCTCTTCCAACGAGTTGCCAAAAAAACCACCTTTACTGCTACTACTACTATGTCTCTGTTGAAATCTTCTGCCCTTGGGGAGATGACGCCTGCTAGTCCCCGGGTTGTTTCGCGATTGCGTGATGCCAGATGAAGGACATACAGAACCATTAGGTCAATTGAATTCCAGTTCTCTTTCAGGAAACCATTTCCCATCAAGAGACTGCATAAAGGAAGAGAAACAGTAGTAAGAACCTCACTCTTTATCACTACAGTCTACAAAGTACCAGCAAAAGATATCACGTAAATGCAAAGATGCATATACCTGTCCATCAAGAGCGGCAATGGCATCGTTCATCTCCGTCTCATCAGCCATTGTCACAAACCCAAACCCACGTGAGCGGCCGATGTCCCTGTCATACACTACTCGAGCATTTGTGACCTTGCCGTGCTCGCTGAAGACTTGCTCGAGGCGAGAATCATCGACACTCCATGGTAGGTTCCCAACGTAGACTCTGCAACCAGGTTCGAACACACGGGGAGCCCGCTCCGGCCTTGATCCTCTGGGAGCAGCTTTGTTAACTGTCAAGAACCTCCCTCCCATGTCATGTGTACATCACCAAGTTGAACTCAGTTGAAGGTATATCAAACCAAGTTTGCTCAGAGTGGAATGCCATTAGTTCAAAAGTTCATGAATATCCTACTAACATACAGACAAGTCAATGATGGCTGAGTGGAACATTCCACACAATAACACCTTTCACTGAAATGCAGCATAGTATTATAGACCAGAAAGTGAAAGTACTTATTACTTCAAGCAACTGTTTAAGAACACACTTTCAATGAACCGAACCTCTCTAGCTGGAAGATACAAGAGTTGTACCAGTTGAGAGAAAAATTAACAATTCAAAGCAAAAATGCTCAATTGCAAATAAGTTCGCTAATTCCAGCCAACCCAACAAGATTATCAATCTCAAAGCTTACATTCGTCGAATTTCAGCAGTAAAGACTCAATCTTTCAATGCAACTGACAGAGGCCCAAACTGTTTAGCTATCAGTTAAATACCCTTGCACAGTTTTCATTCTCACACTACTATCCTCAGCCCCATACCAGCAATCAATCGTCAAAAACAGATGGCAAAGAAACGGTGAACTTACATAGCTGTTGAACTTATCGACAGCCTTCTCAGCTTCTTCAATAGTACTCATGGTCACAAATCCGAAACCACGGCTGCTATCAGTCTCCCTGTTGTAAATGGCCTGCCAACAAACAAAAGACAAAAGAAGATTTCACAAAGATGCAAATTAGAAGTTAAATCCCAGTAAAAAAGGTGAAGTAATCCATCGAAACAAACCTCAGCAATCTCTACAGTTCCAGCTTGCTCGAAGAGCATAGCCAATTTCTCACTATCCACATCGTACGGCAAGTTACCGACGAACAATTTGGCGTCCTCCGACGGCTCCTGCGCCTCAATTGCATCATCCCCATCTTCGGCGGCAGCGTAGGAAGCCACCGGGCCCTCCTCGGCTGCAGAATCCTCACCTTCTTCTTCCTGTTCCGAGTCAGCAATGGTGGATGTAGTGTTCTGCTCGTCCTGCTGCGCCCAATCGAAAGTCTGGGCTACGAAGGGGATAAAAGATAGGGAGTGGGAGAGAAGGAGTTTGAAGGGTCGAGATGGGATTGATAGAGCGAGGAGAGGATGATCTGGGCGGAATCAATATGAAGGTGGAGGGACAGTCGGGACGAAGAAGGAAGAAGAAGAAGAAGAAGAGGGAATTAGGGATGGTCTGCTTTAATGATGACGATAACCTTTGAGTGGATGATGACAATGAAGTTTTGATTCATTAACAATTCCAGCCAAATTTTAATGGAGAATCTTTTTTATCAATTGTATAAAATTTGCTGTTGAATAATAGAACTCTATAAAATAAGGTATCAGACGAGAAAACATGATGGTAATTATTGTTCGGGGACTTCATAGCACATATAATTATTTAAGGGGTGTAATTTGTAATCATAATCTTTATTAAATATATAATTTTAATATAATTAATACTAGCCGTTAGATTAGATCAACGATCTCAGGACCTGGAGCATGCTATGCGCCTGGAGCATACGAGTCGTATCCATATATATATATATATATATATATATATATGGCAATGTCTTCGGCGCACCTACTTTTTTAGGTGCACTGAACGCACCCATTTTCTTGTTTAATCTTAACCATTGAATGCATCTAACGGTTACAATAATTCAGTTTGTTTATAATTAATTATTAACTGAATTTAAAATTATTGATAATTGCAATAAAGTCCCTAACTCTAACTCTACCCTCCGAGATTATTTTTCCCCTCTTTACGAACCCTTCTTCTTCCTCACACATTTAGTTTAATTGAATTACATCTGATACTTTTGCTACTGCCGCAACGGATTGAAGGTGAAGCAGAATAATATTCTGATTCCGGGTTCAGGATCCTGGTCGAACTGAGCGACGATTACTTTTCCTCTCTTCTTCCCTAATTATTTTCCCCTCTTCCACCGTCAATACTTTTCCCAGAGGAAGGCGACGATTACTTTCCAGTGGCCTGGCATCGTCGTCCTTCGCCACTAATAACGACTAACTAATTAATAACAATCTTTGATTAATCTAACAACTATTATTCACTTACACAACTTATTAAATTTGGTGGCTTAAGCTGCACCCTGCATGAACTATATGTAACCAGGTAACAAGATTATATTCTACTCCGCATTGGGTTGTTGTTTGGATTAAAACAAAGTAAAATATTTGGTGGAAGTATAACAGAAATTGAGCTTTTGGTTGATCTGACCCTCGTAGCCAAGTTTAGATTGACGGAGGAGATAGTTTAATTTAATATAGTGGTTAACTGCTGGATTTTCTTTTGCCGAAAAGGAAATGGTGAAGCACTGAAGAAGCCTAATTCCGCTCGGAATCTGACAGGGAAACAAAAGGAAAGTAGCTATCAGTTTTATTGAGTTCATTTTTTATGATTTACAAATAAAATGATGTGTTCAAACCCCTCTCTTCACACAGCAAAACGACGGCCGGATGCTACCCTGTTCCCGGCGAGGCTGCAACAGGGGAACATGAACAATTGAACATCTGCACCTTCGTCGTTCGTCGAAGCTTCTGCCGGGTGCTACTCTGTTTGCTTTTCAATTATTTAGGAAATGGGCTAAAATAAGAGACTTTTGACAATCAAACACAACCTTTCCTTTCTTCAATCTCCTTCTACTTCTATTCTTGCATCCTCAAAAGTCTCCAACATATTTGTATGTACAACATATAATCAAAGGAGTTTGACTCCTGAGTATCGCCCCAGACTCAATCAGCACTAACAAAAATTTGTTTCCCCCTCCGATTTCCATTTATCGAGCTGAAGCCTCCCCCCGCATATCAACCCGCACGAACAGAGAACAGCAGCACAAATCCACCACACAAGGATTCATTCCAGTTCTGTTCAATCCAACGTTTTCCTCCATTTTTTAAAGCAATTTCGTAGGGCCTCATGTATGCTTTCTTGCCGATCGGTTCTCAGCGATCCACGCCGGATCCTTCCTGTCATCTCCAGGCGTTCGCCGGCTGCAACAACGAAGCTTCTTGCTCGTCGACGACTCCAGCATTGAACAGGGATGGTTGTACAAGGGGTGTATGGTCGGAGACACCAAGAACTTTGTTCTCCGATGTCGGAGTCGGCGTCACCGTCACAGAGATTGCGTGGCCGCCGTCGGCCAAGTGATCTTCTATTTTTGGTGAGAGAGTCACTGTTTGTTGTGAGGGGAAGAAATCATAATTTGCGGGATCAGTTGCTTTTAGGTCCTTAATTGCAATTATCAATAACTATAAATTCTCTTAATAATTATTGTATACTTTATTAGTTAATAATTAATTAAAAAGTTATTAATTATTGTGAATCGTTAGATATTTTCAACGGTCAAGATTAGACCAGAAAATGAGTGCGTTCAGTGCACCCAAAAAAATGGGTGCACCGAAGTAGCCACCATATATATATATATATATATATATATATATATATATGGTGCCTTCTACGGTACCTCGGGTGAAATCCGGGGTACCGCATACCCTGAGTATGAAAACGCTATCTAGACCTCGAATTAGCAGGGTTTTTGGGCATGATACTATACCCTAACCCTAAATGAGTGAACCCTAGGTCCTAATTATCTAAATCATAAACTATAAACTCTAAGATGGTGCATTGATTTTTTTGCCTATATTTGGACAAATCATAACCGTCGATTATTATTTCTAACTAAATTGATCTTGGGGTATAAGATTAAGTGAATTAAGACCTATATTTTGATCTTTATGGATTAGAGTATAGTATCATGTCCGAAAGATCAGTCAATTCAAGTTCTAGATAGCGTTTTTTTACTCAAGGTATGTGGTACCCCGGATTTTACCCGTCCGGGCGTCCGCTAGCCTACCGTAGGTCCGGGCGTCCGCTAGCCTACCGTACGTCCGGGTGTACGCTAGCCTACCGTACGCCCCATTGAGTTTTGCTATTTAGACAAAGAATTAATCTGAGTTTGGGACATGATACTATACCCTACCCCCTAATGGGTGAATCCCAGTCCCCAATTCACTAACCCAAACCATGAGATTCGTTTAATTTTAAAAATGAAAATCAACGATTCTGATTCATCAAAATTTTCATTGGTTTTCATTTTAAGATTAAACGAACCTCATGGTTTGATACTATACTCTAACCCTTAAAGATCAAAATCTAGGTCTTAATTCTCTGAATCTTATACCCAAGATCAATTTAATTAGAAACAATAATCGACGGTTATGATTCGTCCAAATATAGGCAAAAATATCAATGCACTATCTTAAGGTTTATAGTTTATGATTTAGATAATTAGGACCTAGGGTTCACTCATTAAGGGTTAGGGTATAGTATCATGCCCAAAAATTATGCTAATTCGAGGTCTAGATAGCGTTTTCATACTTAAGGTATACGGTACCATACGCCCCATTGAGTTTTGCTATTTAGACAAAGAATTAATCTGAGTTTGGGACATGATACTATACCCTACCCCCTAATGGGTGAATCCCAGTCCCCAATTCACTAACCCAAAGCATGAGATTCGTTTAATCTTAAAAATGAAAATCAACGATTCTGATTCATCAAAATTTTCATTGGTTTTCATTTTAAGATTAAACGAACCTCATGGTTTGGGTTAGAAAATTAGGGACTGGAGTTCACCCATTAGAGGATAGGTATAGTATCATGCCCCAAACTCCAGATGATCTGACCGTTAGATTTGCATGGATTAGCTTCGACCAATCTCAACGGTACTTCGGTGCACTCACAAAAATGAGTGCGTTAAATGCACCCATTTCAAAAACTAGTCTTCAGGTTTTAATTTGTAGAATTAGTGTAATATGATGATATAACATGTGATAACAACTAATTAATTGATTATCCTAATCCCTAGACCTCCAATTTTGAATTTTATTCCTAAACCCCAAATTGTAAACCCTAACCCTAAATCTCTAAATCCTTCAAATTAAAGTAAATCTTGAATGGTTTTTGTGCAAATTCATGTGCTTTATTGTTCATCACATCATAAGTGATGATTGACATCATTTTGACATGAATTGCATGTTTAAAATAACGGTTAAGAAGCGAGTGCATTAAATGCACCCAATAAAGTGAGTGCACTGAAAACGGCAAGACGCCATCCAATTTACCTGAAGCAATGCGTTGCTTGGTAACGGTGGTCTTGGAGAGGATAGTTTTTTCCATGAACATGATTCCTGGTTGGTTTGATGGAATAAATGGAACAACCCATTTGTGAAGCCATGTAACGTTTGGAATGGTGGTTTGAATTTTGTGATAATGGTAATGCTCTGCCATGACAAATTTGCCGCCATGCCCACTCATAAAGCAATGCAATGCATGGAAAAGGTGTCGTAATCACTATAAATAGTGATTGGCGAGACACACATAAAAAATTCATTCTCTTTTTCCTATTCAACTTCTAAGTATGCTTTAGCGTTCTTGAGTCTGGAACTTAAAGTGGTGATAATTTTATCCTACGAAGAAAGTTCATGTAACCCAAGGTTTTGTAGAGAGTGAAAATATTTTTTACGAAAAGTGAACGTGGTTCACGACTCTATCATAATCCTGGTCACCCGGTCTCGGACTATCGTACGTGTGCCCTCGTCCCAAAAGTTCCAACAATCGTAAAGAATAATTTCCGGTACGATCAATGGCTCGAGCCGCTCTTTACAAGAAATTAGTTACGATCTATAGAATTATGAGAATGTTCGATGATGAAATTTTCATCAATGGCAGTAGAAGATGGGTTTTCTTCGTACTATTATCATGGTGTATTCCATATCCGGAAGGTAACTTGGAAGAGTGATGATTCGAAGATGAGGAAGATGGAAAATGCTTCGTATTATGGAGAAATAGAAGAATGAAAATTGCCTTTGGGTAGGTCACATACTCAATTGTTAATTTGTCTAATTCTCTATTTGACGTATATGAAGTCCTAGACAAATTTGGATTTGTCTAGTGGTTTGATGGTGTGGTTTTGTCCAAGTGATATATGTTAGACCATAAA